CATTCATTTCAAGTGTGTTTACCTTTGCTCCATGGAATATAGTTGGCATTGCTTTTTTATAGTCTTTTAAAGTCTTTGAGAATTCTACCATCTGAGTCCTTTCATGTTGCTATCTGTTATCTTTTTTCTTAAGAATGGGTTGCATTTTCCTGGTTCTTTGTATGTACAATAACTTTAGGTTATATTTTGGACATTTTGAATATTGTGTTGCTTAGACTCTAGGTCTTGTTAAGTACCTGGAAATAATGCTTTATTTCTTTTATCAGGTAACCAACTTGTTTAGGTTCAAACCACACGTTTTGTCTTGCCTTCTGTGGACAGTAGTTCTCATGTCAGTTCTGTTTTCAAAGACTTTGCTATCCTGTTTTGGGTCTCCTCATGCACGTACAGCCCAGGAGCGAGCCTGAGACACGTGTCAGTTCCTGCACAGAATTCGGGGATTCCTTTCTCCAGCTCTCTCCTCTATGGAATTCTCCTCCACGTTTTCCAACCTTCAGGGGCCTGTTTTCCTGGTCCTCTGGCCAGAATGATGTCAATTCTCTTGGAGATTTAGCTGCCTAGACTGCTGCCATACAGTTCTGAGCTGGGGCTGCCACTGGGGCAAGGCCGGGAGAGAAAAAAGAAGGAAAGGCCCCAGAGATTCCTCCCACCCCTCCCCACACTCTTCAAACTATAGCTAGGTGTTGTGGTTCTGGGTGGGAGATCCTTATACCGTTTCAAGACCTTTCCCCAGAATATGTGGTCTCTCAGCTCTTTCAGGGGTTTTAAAAAATCCGAATTAGGATTTATTTTAACTATTTGGGTACCTGTGACAAGGAGTTTGAGAACTCTGAACTATGTGTGTGTGTCTGTCCTGTGGGTGAAGTTTCTGGGAACCTTTGGTTTCTGTGTCCCATGACATGAGGTCCCTAGCTTGTTTGGGGTCTATTTCCAGGTGTGATGTCTCTGTTTCTTTCGGGGGTATCAGTCCCAGGGCGTGATTTTTTGACTTATTAAGGTACTATTTCCAGTGACTGAAGTCTCTGAGCCATTTACGAGCCACTCTCCTGAGGAATGAGATCTCTAAGGTGTCTGTAGTTTGTGCACTGGAATGTGAGGTCTCTGAGCTGTTTTGGTATCTGGATCTTAGGATGTAAATTCTCAGAACTCTTTTGGCATCTGTTTTGCATAGTGTGAGGTTCGTGAACCATTGGAGTATGTTTTTAGGTGTGATGTCTCTGTCTTTTTTGGAAAAGTCTCCGTTTCAGGGCTGATGTCTCTGATTAATTAGGGGCTGTATAATTAAGTATACAGGTTATCTGAACTGTTTATCAGTCTGTGTCACAGGATTTAAGGTCTCTGGACTATTTAGGGTCTGTTTATCAGGGTGTATGATCTCTGGGATATATGTGGCTCTGTGTCCCACACTGTGAGGTTTCTAAGCTCTTTGGGGATCTCTTTCTGGAGTGTGAAGTGTCTGAACTGTGGAGGTCTGTGCCCAGAGTGTGAAGTCTCTGAGAAGCTTTGTGGTTTCTATCCCAGTGAATTAGATCACTGAAGTGTTTAGGGTCTGTTTCCCAGGGTTGGAATCCCTGACATTTCAGAGGTTGCATGCACCAGGCTGCGAGGCTACAGAGCATTTACCAGCTCTGTGCTTCATGGTATGTGTGAGATCTTTTGCAATGTTTGTCCGGAGTATGAGATCTCTGAAATTTTTTGCGTTTTTTTCCTCAAGAATTTGAGATATTTGAACTGTGTGCAGGATTTTGTCCCAGGGTGTGAGGTTTTGGATCTGTGTCCAGAGTGTGAGGTCTTTAAGGTGTTTGCGTGTGTGTGTGGTGGGAGTGTCTCTGTCCCCAGGTGTGAGGTCTCTGAGCTGTTTGAATTACTGTGTCCCCGGGTGTATTCCACAGTGTGATGTCTCTGAGGTGGTTCTGTGTCTGTGTCCTAATGTAAGAGGTTTCTGAGTTTCTCTAGGTTATGTTTGTTCCTTGCATGATGGATGATTCTGAATTATTTTTTAGTCTGGGTCCAGAGAGTTGAGATCTCTTAGCTGTTTTGGGATCTGAGCTGTCCGAAGGGTATGAGGTGTTTAAGTTCTTTTGGGTCTGTGTTGCATGCCATGAAATCCCTGCGTCATTTGAGATATATTCCAAGGTGTGAAGTTTCTCATATTTTTAGTGATTTCCGTACAAGGGTGTGATACTTCTGACCTATTAGTGGTCTATTCCTAGGGTATGAGGTCTCCAAATTTGATAGGGTTTGTGAAGTTTCTTTGCTAATTGATTTCTATGAAGTTTGTGAGCTATTTAGGAGCCTGTTCAAAATCTATCCAGATGGATTTCTGAACAGTTTTGTGGTCTGTATCCAAGGTTTGAGGTGTCTGAACTCTTATGGAGACTGGTGACTGTGTCCAGCGTTGACCTTAAACAAACAGCCAGCCAGTTATTTCTCCAGCAAAAGCGGGTGTATTCGGGATTAGCAAAGAATTGCAATTTGGGGCCTGCAACCATGGTGAGCCACCTGCGGAGCAGCAAGGGGAGGAGAAACTCTTCTATAAAGAAAGGGGGAGAGGAAGTCGGTAGGGAAATTGTAAACAAAGAATCCATCAGAGGAGACGAGGAGTTTGAAGCGTAGTGGTTTTTTATTGGCTGAGTTGTGACAGTCTCTCATTGGCTGAGCTGTTGCTGGGCAAGAAGAGACAGTCTTCTCTTCTTCGTGCTGGATTCTGCAATGGTGTAGGGAGTGAGAGCTCCCCCTTTTGGCCTCCCTACACCATTTTAATGAAGTTTCTGTTTATGAATTTCCACACAAGGCTGCAAGGACTCTTTTTGGGTTCTGTACCCCATAGTACGATATCTCTGGGTTTTTCTGGATCTGAGTCCAAGCACATGAGGCCTATGAGCTCATTGATGTCTGTGTTCATGGCATGAGTTCTCTGAGCTGTTTTGGGGTCTGGGTCCCAGGATATGAGCTTTCTGAGATTTGAAGATCTATGTCCCGGGTGTGAAGTCTCTGTGCTGTTTTGGGCTCTGCGTCACATGATGGGAATTCTGAGCCATTTGGGATATGTTTCCAGGTGTGAGGTCTCTGCTCCTTTTGACAGTCACTGTCAGGGATGTGATGTCTCTGACCTCTGTTCTGTTTCCAAGGGGTGGGAGTCTCTGAGCTACTTAGCTGGCTGTGTGACTGTGTGAGATCACTGTCTCTTTATGGATTTGAGTTCCAGAGCATGAGATCTCTGAGCTGTTTGGGGTTTTGTGTCCAGAGTGTCATGTCTTCTGAGCTGTTTTGGTTGGCTGAATCTCAAGAGATGAGATCACTGAGGTACTTACTGTCTGTGCCCCAGGGTGGATTGTTTGAGCCATTTTGGGGTGTGGGTCCTAGGGTGAGAGTTGTCAGAGCTGGTTGGAGTATGTGTCCAGGTCTGAAGGTCTCTGAGATGTTAGGAATCTGTGTGACAGGATGTGAGATCTCTGGGTTTTTGAGTTTCTCTGTCCTCATGAGGTCTATGATGTTGGGTGGAGTGGGGTGGGGGAGGGAGCAGTCCGTATCCAAAGCTTAAGGCTTCCGAATTGTTTTGTGCTGTTAGAATGCGAGATCTCTGAGCTCTTTGAGACACTGTGCCTCAGAGTGTGAGGTCTTTGCAGCGTTTCTGGGTCACTGTCTCAGTCTATGAGGTCTCGGAGCTCCTTGGGAATCTGTGTCCAGTGTACAAGGCCTTGGAATTGTTTTATGTTCTGTATCCAAGGCTGTCAGGTCTTCATGGTCTTGGAGTCTGGTACCACAGAATGAGATTGCTGAGGTGTCTGTATTTCTCTTTGGCTCAGTGTAAGTTTTCTGAGCTGTTAGGGTGTCTTTTTCCCAGCATGGGAATTTTTGAGTTTCTGAACTTTGTGGGAGTCTCTGTCAAGGGTGTGAGACCTCATAGGTCTTGTAGATCTAAATCCCATCACATGAAATCTTTGAGCCATTTGGTAGATGTTTCCACGTGTGAGGTCTCTGACGTCTCAGTTACAAGAATGAGGTCTTTTATTTATTTCTGGGTATACTTCCAGAGTCAAGGGTCTCCGAGGTATTTTTATGAGTGTATATGCCATGGTGTAACGTCTTTAAGGCGTTTCAGGGTCTGTGTCCTGACCTGTGAGGTCTCTGAGCTGCTTGGGGCCTGTGTTCAGGGTGTGAGTCCCCAGAGCTCTCTCAGACTTTGTGTTCCAGGATGTGCGGTGTCTGAGCTCTTTGGAGTCTGAGTTCCATGAGATGATATCCTTGAACCATTTGGGATGTGAAATCTCTCTTCCTTTCAGAGATGTCAGCCCCAGGGTGTGGTGTCTCTGTCTTGTTAGAGATTATGTTCTTGATTGTGATGTCCCTGCCTTATTTGGGGTCAGTTTCCAGAATTATTTACAGGGATGGTCACAAGGTATGACATCTCTGTTCTCTTGGCAGGTCTGTATCCCGCAGTGTGTGAGCTCTGAAATGTTTTAGAGGTCTGTGTCTAGTGTATAAAGTCTATGAGGTGTTGGGTCTCTGTCCGGAGCTCTGGGAGTGGTTTTAGTGTGCAAGTTGTCTGAGCTCACGTGGATCCTGAGTTCCATGATGTGAGGTTTTTAGATGATTTGGCTTTTGTTTCCAGCCATGAGGTGTCTGATCTTGGTGGTCTCAGTTTCAGAGAGTCACGGGTCTGATCTATTAGGGTCTGCTTCCGGGCAGCGAGGTCACTAAGCTGTATTTGCGTCCTTTCCAAGGTGTGAGGTGTCTGTGTTTTCGAGTGTCTGTGTTCTTGAGTATGAAGTCTCATAGACTATTTGGGGTTTGTTTCTAGGGCCCGAAATTTCTGATCTATTTATTTATTTAACTTGTGTGCTAAGTTGTGAGGTCTCTAAAATGTTTCCAGGTCTGCATCCATGGTATGAGGTCTTATGTTGTTGTGAACTGTGTCCCAGGTTTTGGGGTGTCTGAGATGTTTGGGGCCTTTGTTCCAGGGTATTATGTCTCTGAGATGTTTTAGATCCTTTCTTCCAGGGTGTGGGGTCTCTGAGTGTTGGAATGTGTGTTCCTGAGCATAAAGTCTCATAGGCTGGTTAGAGATGTTTCCAGAGTCGGAGGTCCCCGTACTATTTTTGGTTCTGTGCCTTGTCCCAGTGTCACACTTGTCAGTGTGAGGTCGCTGAGTTGTTTGGAAACTTATGTGCAGGATGTCACCTTTCTGAGCTGTTTGGGATCAATATCCCAGAGGATATCACTGAAATGATTATGTTTGGGATCACAAGATTTGTGTCACAGCTGTCTGAGCCTTTTGTGTGTGAGGTCTCAGAACACTTTGTAGGGCTGGTGCTCATGTTATGCGGTGTTTGAGTATTTTTCCCCTACTTACTTTCCCCTCATTAACAGCGTGTCCTTTAAGTACTCCCACCAGCTGGGACAGGTGTGTCACTCTCATTCTGTTTGCGTCCAAGCCTCTGAATTGCTTTGTGGTCTATGACAAGATTGTGAGGTCTTTGCCTAGATTTTATGTATATCCCAGGTGGTGAGGTCTCTGTGTCCATAGTATGAGGTATGTGAGTTGTTTGGGGTTTGTGTCCCAGTGTGGAAGTTCCCTGTGGTGTTTTGGTGTCCCAGGGTGTGAGGTCTCTGAGATGTTTGTAGGAGTCTGTGACCAGAGGATGAGATCTATGAAATAACCAGCTATCTATGTCTCATTATGCAAGTTCTCTGAGCTTTTTGCCAGCCTTTGGCCAGAGTGTGAAGTCTCTAGGCTGTTCTGTGGTCTGTGTCCACAGTGTGAAATCCCTGAACTGTTTTGGATTCTGTGTTCCATGATGTGAGGTCTCTAAGCGCTTTTGTGCTCTGTGTTCAACAATGTCAAGTCCCTGAGCCATCTGCTGTATGTTTCCAGTGGTGAGGTCTCATTCTGTTTCACGCCCAGCTGGTACTCCATGGTATAATAAATTACCTTTATTTATTTACCCTCTTCCCTCTAGGTGTTTGCTTCTCTCACACAGACCTGTGCACGTGTGAGTGTTTCCTTAGAACACTAATTTAGAGGCAGGAATTGTCAGGCCAAAGGAGTCATTTATTCAACAAACTCACTGTGTGCAGAGCTCAGTTTTAGGCACTGCAGAGACACAGGGAAACTAGAAATCCACATACACACTGGTGGCACTGACATTCTAGTGGGGAGAGGTGTCAATTTTTTATTTTGATCAATGCTGCCACACAAATTCACACTTCCATCAGTGGCATCAGGGTAATGAATGTCTTTTTACGGGTCAGGGCTCTGCAGCAAGGGGTTGGGCGCCCTGGCCTCGCTCTCAACAAGATCATCAGGATATGGGGCTGAGACTGGGGGGCATGGGAGGGAGAGACGGGGATGGAACGTGGGCAGGAGGAGGAAGACATGAGTTTATTTAGTGGTGTTGGCGTGAACCGAAGATTGAACGGTTCCTGGGACGTTGACAAGAAACACCCCTTCCTAGGTCGCACACACACGGACAGCGTGAGGGGTGAGAATGAAGAGTTAATAATAAGACAATGCAGCTCCGGGACATACCATTGCGCGATGCGGAGAGGGAACAGTTCGCTCCGGGAAGTACCACGGCGGGGGGGCGGAGGATCACGTATTCTGGAAGAAACCACTCTATGTGTGGGGACACGAAAGGGCTCATCCCGCGCGTGGATCAGTCCCCACCCCAGAAAGAGGAGAGAATGGCGCTGCCCTAACCGACCTCGGCGCCGTGGTGGTGGGGGAACCCCGCCCTTGGCCTAAAGCCTCCATCTATCAGGAAGCCGCCATCGCGGTGGTCTTACGTTTGGTCCCGCCTGGGTTGGCTCTACAGATTCCAATCAACAGCAGAAGTCGGGTAGGGTGGAAGGCCGCGGAGCGGTGATTGGCTCCGGGGTGAGTAAGGCGGGATCAAGTCCCATCCTGAGCTCTGATTGGTCACCGCGAGCCGGCCTACCCCAAGCTCTTTCAGGGTACCGAGGTTTTCCGGAATTACTTACAGGCTGCGAGCCGGGTCCTCCGGCTCTGTGCTGCCATTGGCTGCTGGTTTGACGCAGGCGCTGTGCCTCCTGGGTTGGCGTTCGGGGTTGCAGAGGCAGGGCTTTGGCTACTGGAGAATGGAAGTTCGAATCCCGTCTAGGAACTTCAGTTTACGCACCTGTAAAAGCAGCTGGCATTATTGGCTGGCACAGAATGTGTCGGGTAATCTTTTCTCTTCTCTTCTACCTATTCTTTTTCTTTTTAAAACAATGCTTATTGCGTCCCATTATATTGCTTTCAGGACCCACTCATGCTTCGCAACAGCACTGAGGAAAATTCTGCTCCAGGGTTCCTGACATCTGTATTTTAGGCCTCCAGTAGGTCTGAGTCCTGCAGAGAAGGTTCAAGGCGATCTCATGATCCTCCTCCAAGGCATCACCTCCTCCCTCCGGAGAGGATGACTTAGAGGCTTCCTGCCACCTCTGGACCAGGCCTGACTAGGGGTGTGTGGAGGTGTATGTGTGTGGAGGAGTAGGGCCAGGCGGTCGGCCATAAATGACCAAAGAGAGATGCATGATTTCATGCTCTGGGATGGAGGGGTGTGTGGCAATTAAAAGGAGAATTTTGAAGGCGGACAAGACAACTCAAAAGAGTAAACTTTTTAATGATGGGATTTTAAGCATCAGGCAGGGGAGGTGTTTGGCTGAGTGCAGGTAAATAGGAGGAAAGTGGTTCTCACCTCAGTCAACTCCATCATAAGGTAGTCATTACACGCCGTGCGCGGTTTGTAAGACTGTCCAGGATGGGAAGTCTCGGACTTGTTTTGGAATGTCAGTTCAGAGTATGACATCTGTGAACAGACTGTGATGCCTCTTGGCTGTTTTGGGGTCCGTGTCACAGGGGTTCAGGTCTGCCACATGTTTCTGGGTCACTGTTCCAGGGTGTGAAGTCTCTAAGCTGTTTGGGGGTCTTTGTCTCTAGGTGTGCAGGGGTTTTTTTTTTCCTTAAAATTGAATTTTATTTTGTTTTATTGGCATTTCTTTGACTACTAGAGGAGCTTAATACTGTTTTTGGAGCTTGTTGGCAAGATATATTTAAGCTTTATAAATTTCCTTTTATGTCCTTTGACCTTTTCTCCTTTTTTTAAAAAAAGGTTTTTTAAAAATCATTTTAGATTTAGAGAAAAACTGCAAAAATAGTGCAGAGAGTTCTTGTATGCCCTTTGCCCAGCTTCCCCTAATGCAGAGAACTTACGTAACCATAGTACAATTTTAAAACCAGGAAGTCAGCGATACTATTGTTCATGAGCTGTTGTTCACCTGTTTGGTGTCTGCATCCAAGGTGTGAAACATCTGAGCTCTTTGGACCCGAGCTCTCTCAGGTTCTGTGTCCCATGCTGTGATGTCTTTGAGCATTAGTGTATGTTTCTAGATGCTAGGTCTTTGATCTTATTGGTGGTCTTTGTCACAGAGAATGATATTTTTGTCCTATTAGGGGTCTCTTCAGAGCATGTCTTCTCTGAGCTGTTTGGGCTTCTGTGTTCAGGGTGTGAGGTCTCTGAGCGCTTTGAGGGTCTGTGTCCAAAGCTGTGTGTACTTTCAGTTTTTATTGGTCTCTAGCAGAGATTCGAAGGTCAGTAAGTACTTTGGGGTTCTGTGTCTAGGACAGGGTTTGCCAACCTCAGCACTATTGACATTTTGGACCAGAAAATTCTTTGTTACGGAGGGCGTCTTAGGGTGTTGTATTCGTTTGCTAGGGCTGCTGTAAAAAAAAAAAAAAAGTACTACCAACTAGGAAGCTCAAACAACAGAAATTTATTGTCTCACAGTTCTGGAGGCTACAAGTCCGAGATCAAGGTGTGAGCAGGGTTGGTTCCTTCTGAGGGCTGAGAAGGAGAATCGGTTGCAGGCCTCTCGCCCAGCTTCTGGTGGTTTGCTGGCAGTCTGACGCTCCTTGGCTTCTGCGGCCTCACCCTGATCTCTGCCTTCATCTTCACGTGGCGTTCTCTTTGTGCACGTGTGTCTGTATCCGAATTTCCCTTTTTATAAAGACACCAGTCATATGGGATTAGGGACCCGCCCAGCTTCAGTGTGACCTTATCTTCTATCTGCAATGATCCTGTTTCCAAATAAGGTCACATCCTGAGGTTTTAGGGTTTGGGACTTCACCATATGAATTTGGGGGCGGACGCAATTCAACCCATAACAGATGTTTCACTTGAGAAAGACGGGAAAGGAGGGAGAGGGAGAGAGGGAAGGAGCAGCCGCCAACGTCCAGAAGCTGTCCTGGCACTCACAGCCCGGCTGTGTTATTCTCTTATTAGACATAAACGATCTCACAGAATACTAATGTCAGACACGGTTACTCTGAGACCGTGCTAAAATGAGACAAAGCAGAACTGCTTTATAACGTTGTCTAAGCACAAAAACAAGGTCACTGTGCCACCCACAAGACACCAGACATCCCCCTCTCTTGGTTAAAATGACGGACTGCTACTTCTTTACCAATTGCAGCTTTATCCTAACTCTAGTCTGCCCTCTCTAAAGATAAGGTTTATCGAGATACCCGATCATAAAATTGCCCTCACTTTCTGACAGCATCCAATCCAGACTGAGCTGAGCCCCCACTTTCTTAGACCCCCCCACAAACCACTCAACTGAAGCCCAGATCCTATAATGGGTTCTTTCTAACACCCTCCTGCCAAGATGTCCCACGGTTCCCCGGGATGTGCTTTCTCCCTCACTGTGGTCAATCATAAGCCCAGCCTGTTCAACTTGAGGTATGTTCCTGGGGGATCTTTGGCTAAAGGGCGCTGACAGGCAGTATCTTTGATCTCTACTCACTAGATGCCAGTAGCACCTCCCCCCTCCCAGCTGTGACAACCCAAACTGTCCCTAGATAGTGCCAATGTTCCCTGGGAGCTAGAGTACGGAGTGTTTGAGGAGTCTGGGGGTCTTTGTCTGAGGTTTGTGTTCTCTGAGAGGTGTTTGGGTCTGTGTCTCAGGACGTGAAGTCTGGTCTATCTCAGGGTCTCTACCATACTGTTGGAAAGCTCTGAGCTCTTTGGGGTGCTGTATCAGGAATAAGTGACCTCATTATGTACCAAAATCCAGACATGAAATATTTGTGGCACCCTCGCCCCGACCCTGGCCATATGCCAGTTCAGAAAGGCAGTGAGAAGAAGGAGTCACGTGATTGGTCGTGAACTCCTCCACACACAGTCACAGCAACCCCAGCTTCCTTGTCTAGACCATGAAGTATATATAGGTGGCCCACTTCCTTCAGAACATCTATCTTGCCCTTTGTTCTAGAGCTCACAGAGTCACCCTTGACACCGTTTGTGGAGAGCGAGTTGTAGGGAGGTGTTTGTTGTGTCTCCTCACACCAGAGCCCTGGAGTGGGAACCCCTGTCTCTTGGGATGGACGTTGCTTAGATGGACGTTGGAGTCCATCTCCCCTCAGGCCTCGTTCACACCCAATACTACCAGCTCACACCCAGTACATGTGGGTTTTGGAGCCTGGTGGACCCTATTTCAGAGCATGGAACCCCCAAGTCCTGGGAGAGTCTAGCTTTGTGCATTGTATTTCTAAACCTAAACTTGACTTGCTGAGGTTTTACAAGACTGCTCTGAGTCAGTAGGACAATGTGCGATCCATACACCTCTACTCCGTTAATTTCAGCCCTCCCTCCCGCTCCCAGTCACACTTCACTTCTGAAAGCAGAATTCAGGGCTGGGAGAAGGGATGCAATCCAGGTAAATGCCTGGCCTGGCCAGGGGCCAGTGTGGGTCTGAGACTGTCTCAGTTCGAACATAGGAGTAACATGCACATATCGTTTAATATAAATATGTGTTGGGTTCAAGAAGGAATAAACATTTTCCAGAATTGTGTCTCCATCTCTAGTAAACCTACAATTTTACTTCAGCTGTTCTCTCAAGAACATGCATCACAGGCTGTGCATCAGGAAGCAAGGATGCACAGTGAGAAGAAATATTGTTCCTCTTGTGAAAACTGCAAATAAGAGAGACAGGTTTGTACATTTATGCAAGAGGCAGGATCTGAGCTCTGGAGAAAGGCTTGGGGGGAGGGTGCAGGGTCTCAGTGAGTCAAAGAAGCCTTAAGAGAAATTAAAAATTAGTTTGAACTAAATGAAAATTAAAATAAAACTTAGCAAATTTGTGAGATGCAGCAAAGCAGTGCTTACTTTGAGGGAAATTTAAAAGGCATTTTGGCTTCTGCCTTGCTCTTTCTTGGATCCCTTGCTCTAGGGGAAGCCAGGCACCATGTCATGAGGACACCCAAGCAGCCCCATGGAAAGATTAATGTACCACAGAACTGCACCCCAGCCAAAAGCCAGCACCATCTTGCCAGCCGTGTGAGTGATCCAAATTGGAAAAGGAGCTTCCAGCCCCAGTCAAGCCTTCAGATGACTGTGGCCTGAGGGACCCAAAGCCAGAACCACACAGCTAAGCTGCTCCTAAATTCCTGACTCCTCCAAACTGTGTGAGATAATTAATGTTTACTGTTGTTTTAAGCTGCTAAATTTTATGGTAATTTGTGGTGTTTCTGAACTCTTTGAGAGTCTCTGTCCAGGGTTCGAGATTTCTGAACTTTATACATCCTAGGGTGTTTTGGGCATTCTATTTCACATTTTTAGGCCTCTGATCTCTTTGGGTTCTTTCTCTAGGTTTTTAGCTCTCTGCATTATTTGGGGATCTATCTCCCAAAGTGTGGCTATTTTTCTGCTCATGTCCAGAATGTGATCATAACTCTTTGGGATCCTTAATCCTGGGGTATGATGTCTCTAAGATACTTTGTACTGTACTTGGGTTCAGGATTTGAAGCCTCTGAGCTCTCTGGCAGTCTTTGTTCTGGGTGTGAGGTCACTGAGGTGTCTGGGAGGCTGTGTCTCAGGTTTCCCGGCCATGACCTCTTTGGAGGACTGTGCACAGGTTTTGTTTGTTCTTTGAAGTGTATGCATTTTTAAATGCCGGGAAGAGACATCACCAAGATGACTGAAATCTGCATCCGTGGCGATAGGTGTCGGAGCAGTTTGGGCCACTGAGTCCCTAGATTTGAAGTCTCTGCAGTGTTTGGGAGTCTATGTCCAGATATTGACATTTATGATTTTGAGGGCAGAGTGAATTTGTGTCCCAGGGTGTCAGCTTTCTGAATTGTTTATGGGTGTATGTCCCAGGAGGTAAGGTTCCTAAACTGTTTGTGGGTATATGTCCCAAATGTGTGAGGTCCCTGATATGCTTGTGGCTACATGTTGCAGTATATGAGGTCTCAGCTCATGGGTGTATGTACCAGGATGTGAGTTATCTGAGCTCTTTGAGTATGCGTGTCTGAGATTATGAAGTCTCTGATGTGTTTGGATGTATGTTTCCCAGGATGAGAGATTTCTGATTTGCTTGTGGGTATATATTCCAGGATGTTACTTACCTGATCTATTTGGGTGTGTATGGTGTAAGGTTTCTGATCTGCTTGTGAGTGTATGTCCCGGGGTATGAGGTCTCTGATCTGTTTTTGGCTCTATGTCCCTGGATGTTAGATCTCTGATCTCTTTGTGAGTGTATGTGCAAATGTGTGAGCTCTCTGATCTCTTTGTGGGTATATGTGCCAAGGTATAAGGTCTCTGAGCTCTTTGTGGGTATATTTCCTTGGTTGTTAGATTCCTGAGCTTTTTCGATTGTGTTTTCTGCAGCATTAGTACTCTGATCCATTTGTTGAGAGTGTGTTTTTGTAATATATGAGGACTATTCTGTCTGAGGGTGTATGTCCCAGAGTGTGAGGTCTCTGCCGTGTTTGTGGGTGTATGTGTCTGGGTGTGAGGTTTCTAAAACGTTTGTGGGCGTAGTTCCCAGGATGTAAGTTCCCTGGACCATTTGTGGGTATATATTCCCAGAATGTGAGATCTCAGATCTATCACTGTATATGTCCCAGTATGTGAGGTCTCTCTTCATGAGTGTACGTCAAGGGTATGAGCTCTCTGATACTTTTGTGTTTTTATGTCTCAGGAAATGAGGTCTCCGATTTGTTTAGGGAGAGGATTTCACATAATGTGAATTCTCAAGTATGCTTGTGGCTCTATGACCTAGGATGTAGGTCTCCGATCTCTTTGGGTGTGTATGTCCCATGGTATGAAGTCTCTGAGCTCTTTGTTGGTATTTATCCCAAGGTGTGAAGTCTCTGATCTGTTGGGTGGTATATTTCCCAGGATGTGAGCTCTCTGATCCATTTGTTGCTGTATACTAGTATGTGAGTCTGTCTTCGTTGGTGTATGTCAAGGTCTGTTTGTGGGTGTATTTCCCAGGGTATGAGGTCTCTGGTCTGTTTCTGAGTGTACATTCCAGAGTAAGGAGTCTCTGATCTGTTTGTCCACATAAGTCTCTGGATGTGTAAGGTCTCTGATCTTTTCAGAGCTGTATCAAGAGGTCTTTCATCTCTTTATGGTTATAACTCCCAGATGTGATGTCTGTGTTGTATCTGTGGCTGCATGTCTTAGCGTTTTAGGTATCTGGGTTGTTTCTGCAAGTGTGCCCCAGGGTGTGATCTCTTTGTGCGTGAGTGTCCCAGATGTGAGGTCTCTGATCTGTTTGTGGGTATATTCACCAGAATGGGAGACCTCTGATACGTTTATGAGTGTATGTCCCAGGGCATGAGACTGCTGATCTGTTTGTGCACGTAAACCCCACAATTTGAGGTCTCTGATCTGCTTGTCACTATGATTACCTGTGCGTGAGGTGTCTTTCATGGGTGTATGCCAAGAATGTAAGTTGTCTAATATGTTTGTGGTTGTATGAACCTGGGTGTGAGGTCTCTTGTTTATGGGTGTGTGTTTCAGTGTGTGAGGTTCGTGAGGTCTTTTTGGGTTTGTGTCCCATGGTGTGAGGTCTCTGATCTATTTGGGGCTATTTACCAGGATATGAAGTTTACGACCTTTTTGTTGTTATATATTCCATGATGTGAGGTCTGTAACGGTAATTGTATATCGTAATATGTGAGGTCTCGTACATGGGTGTATGTAAAAAGTGTAAGGTCTTTAATCTGTTTGTTTTATATATCCCTGGGTGTGAGGTGTCTCATCAGTTAATGGATTTAATTCCTAGAGTTGGACATCGCTGATCTGTTTGCAAGTGTGTCTCCCATGATGTGATGTCTCTGATCTTTTCGATGGTGCGTGTTCCACAATGTGCGGTATCTCATCTATTCCTCAGTGTATTTCCAAGTGTGAGGTCTCTCACTCTGTGAGGGTATATGTCCTATGATGGGAGGCCTCATGTATTTGTAGGTATATTCCCAGGATATGAGCTCTCTCCTCTCTTTTGAGCAGTATGTCCCAATTTGAGAGGACTCTGCTTCGTTTCTGAGTGTATTTCCCAGTATGTGAGGTCTCTGAGCTGTTTGTGCTGTACACTGCAGGATTTGAGTTCTCCAGTCTATCATGTGTGCATGTGTCAGGTTGTGAGGTTGCTAATCTCTTTGTGAGTGTATATCACAGAATGAGAGTCTCTGATCTGTTTGTTGTGTTTGTCAAGGGTATAAGGTCTGATCTCGTTGTGCATATATGTCCCAGGATGTATGGACCCTAGCTGTTTGCGGGTGTTTGTCCCAGGTTGTGAGAGCTGTTGGTGAGTGTATGTCCCAGGATGTGAAGTCTCTGATCTGCTTGGGTGTGTTTGTTCAGGGGTGAGATTTCTAATCTGTTCTGGGGTACATATCCCAGGAGGTAAGGTCTCTGATCGCATGGTGTGTCTAATTCCAAGAATTTAAGTAAGGTCTCTGATCATCTGTGGGTGTATGTCCCGGACTGTGTGTTTCTCTGCTTTCTGTGGGTGTACATACCAGGTTGTGAGTTCTCTGATCTGCTAAGAGGGTTATTTTCCAAGATTTGAGGTTTCTGATTTGTTTGTGGGTGTATATCGTAGAGTGTGAAGTCTTGGGTCTCGTAGGGTGTGTATGTCCAGAGTGTAAGGTTTGGACCTCTCTGTGGTTGTGTCTCATGGTGTGAGGGCTCTTCTCTGTTCATTCCTGTATGTTTCAGTGTGTGACGTCTGTTCGGAATTTTGTTAAGGATGTAAGTTCTCTGATATGTTTGTTGTATGTTGCAGGACGTGAAGTCTCTGTTCTGCTTGGTGGTGAATGTCCCAGTGTGTGAGGTCCCTGAGTTCTTTCTGTGTGTATGTCCTGGGGAGTGACAGGTTTGTGGATGTATATCCCAGGTTGTGAGCTTTCTGATCTGTTTAGAAGTGAATTCCACCAAGTGACATATCTGAACTCTTTATGAGTGGAGGTACCATGCTTTGAGGGTGCTCACACATTTGTCAGTGTATGTGCTGAGTGTGAGGACTCTAATCTGTTTCTGGGTGTGCTACCCAGAATGGGAGGTCTCTGAACTGTTTGTTTGTGTTGCAGGACTTGAAGTCTCTGATTTCTGTACGGCTGTATTCCCAGGTTGTTAGGTCCCTGATTTGTCTGTGGGTCTATATATGTGGTAGGAGCTCCCTGATTGGTTTGTGGGTGGATATCCCGGAATGTCCTGTCTGTACTGGCCTATGTTTGTATATCTCTGTTCAGCTGAATACTGGCCCCCAGTGATATCCGTGTTCCAATCCCTGGAACTTGGCGACCATGTTAACTTTCTGGCAAAAGGGACTTTACAGATGTGGTTAAGTTAAGCACCTTGAGATTGAGAGTCTATCCTGGACTATCCAGGTGGGCCCAGTGTAATCGCTAAGGTCCTTACATGTGGGAGGCAGGATGGTAAGAGTCATAAATGATGATGTGACGATACAAGCTGTCAGAGAAGGTGATGTAATGATGGAAGCAGAGTCAGAAAAGCAGATATGACAACTGAAACAGGAAGAAGAGAGACCAGAGAGAGATTTGAAGATGGAGAAAGGGGCCATGAGCCAAGGAATGCAGGCAGCCTCTAAAACTGGAAAACACGAAGAAATGGATTCTCTCTTGGAGCCTCCAGGAGGAAGGCAGCTCTGCCAACAGCTTCATTTTATCTCTGTAAGACTCATTTTCAGGCTTCTGACCTGTAGAAATGTAAGATAATAAATTTGTGTTGTTTTACAATGCTCTGATTGTAGTGATTTGTTACAGCAGCGATAGTAAATGAATGCAGTGTCCCGGGTTATGATGTCTCTCTCTGGCTGCCAGTGCACATCCCAGGAGGTGAACTCCATGATCTGTTTATGAGTGTGTGTCTGATGATGAGAGGTCTCTGATCTGTGTGTGGGTATATGAACCAGGGTGTGAGGTCTCTGACCTATTTGAGGGTGTGTGTCCCAAAATTGGTGGTCTCTGAGCTGTTTGTTGGTGTATGTCTCAGAACATGAGGTCTCTGATCTGTTTGTGTGGGCATGTCCTAGGATGTGAGGTCTCTGAGCTGACTTGGGGTGTGCGTCCAGTATGTGAGGTCTTTAAGATTTTTGTGGGTTGCATTTCAGGTTGTTAGGTCTCTGATGCATTTCAAAGGTATTTCTGATGCTAATGAGCTTTCTGCTTTCTTTGGTGCTATATATACCAGGATGTCAGGTCTCTAATCTGTTTAGTTATGAATGTCCAGGGGGTGTGAGATTTCAAAGAGCTTGTTGTGAGTATACGTCCCTTGGCCCAAATTCTCTGATCTCTTGTGACTACGTGTCCCTGGATATGAGCTCTCTGATCTCTTTGTGGGTATATGTCACAAGATATTAGGTCTGTCATCTATTTCTGGCTCTTTTTCTTAGCTTGTCTGGTCTCTAACATGCTTGTGAGTGTATGTTATAAGATTTGAGATCTTGGATCTATTTCTGGGTGTCTCCTGTTGTATACGGTCTCTGGTGTGTTTTGGAGTGTATCCTATGATGTGAGCCCCTCGATCTGTTTGTCAGTATATTCCTCAGAAGGTAAGGTCTCCAATCTCTTTGTGGGTATATATTGCAAGGTTTGAGGTCTGTGGTCTCTTCGTGGTTCCATGTCCAGGTTGTGAGGTCTCGAATCTGTTTGTTGATGTGAACACAGGATGTGTTCTCTGATCTTTTGTGTATGTGTGTATCTGGGGGGGTGGGTTATGTCTAACGATGTGAAGATTCTCATCTGTTTTCTGGTAAATGGACCAGGTTAAAAGGACTGACATGTTGGAGGGTGTTTTCCCAGGATTCTCTGATCTGTTTCTGAATACATGTCCTAGGATGTGAGGTCTCAGAGCTATTCGTGGCTGTACATCCCAGGCATGAGCTCCCTGAGCTGTAAGTGTATATATCCAGAGTATGAGGGTTCTGAGCCCTTTGTGAGTGTGCGTCTCAGAGTTGAGGCCCGTTTGCAGGTGGACGCCCCAGTACCTGAGCTCTCTCATCTCCTTGTGGGCGTATGGCCCGAGAGGTCAAGTATTTTTAGTTATTCTGGGTGTATTTCGCAGGATGGGAAGTCTCTGACATCATGGGTTCCTGCTGTAAGGTTTGAGGTCTCGGGTTCATTTGTGGTGATGCATTTCTCGGGTGAGGTCTCTTATCCATTTGTGTGTGTGTGTCACAGTATGTGAGGGTATTTTTGGAGGGGGAGTCTCTTTTGCTTGTTTGTCTTGGGTATGAGGCCTGTTCTTTTTTGTGGGTATGTGTCGCAATTTGTGAGGTCCTGGACTTGTTTGTGGGATGTATGACTCCGGTGAGGCATGTGAGCTGTTTGTGGTGTATGTCCTAGGATTTTTATGTCTCTGAGCTTCTTGGAGGTGTGTGTTTTGTGATGTGAGGTCTCTAATTGTTTGTGTGTGCGTGTCTCTGCTCTGCCACCTTAAGGCCCCCTAAAGATGCTCATGTTCTAATCCTTGGAAACTGTGCGAAGATGCGACCTTACGTGTTAAAAAGTACTTTGTAGATGTGATTAAATTAAGCCTCTGGAAATGAGGAGATTTTCTAGGTGGGTTCAGTGTAATCATAAGGGTGCTGAAATGCAGGGGACGGGATGGTTATTGTCACTGAATGCAAAAGAATGACACAAGCCAAGTCAGCTATGGCGATCTGGTGGTGGAGATGTTTGTGGGTGCGTGTCCCAGAGTGCGAAGTCTCTGAGCTGTTCATGGGGGTGCGTCCTGAGATGTGACATTTCTGATTGTGCATCTATGTCTGTAGTCGGCCAAATAATAGGCCCCCAAAGATGTCCAGTGAAGGATGTGTGACCAAGGAGCCCTGATTGAAGAGATGCGATGATGCAAGCCGAGTCAGAGAAGGAGATGTGACAACAGAGACAGAGATCAGAGAGGTTTGAAGATGAAGCATTGATGTCTTTGCAGGTGGAGGAAGGAGCCGGGGGCCAAGAATACAGGCAGCTCTGGGAAGTGGAAAAGGCAAGGAAATGGACTCTCCCCTGGAGTCTCCAAAAGGAAGATGACTGTTCACGCCTGACTTTTGAGGGTATTTCCGACAGTTTGAGGTTTCTGATTTCTTTGATGCTATATATATACTGGGATGTTAGAGCTGTGATTTCTTAGCTTTGTATGTCCAGAGTAGGTAGGGTTTCTGAGCTCTGTGTGGGTATATGCCCCTTGACTTGATCTGTTTGCTGGCAAACGTTCCAGCACATGAGCCCTCGGATCTGTTCGTGGATCTGTGTTGCAAGATGTCAGGTCTGCGACCTGTTTCTGGTCTTTTCCTAGCCTGTGAGGTCTCTGACTTGATGGTAGCTGTGTTTGGCAGGATTGGAGGTCTCTGATCCGTTTGTGAGTCTGCGTCTCCGGTGCGTGTGGTCTCTGCATTGTTTGTGGAATAGATCCCAGGAGGGGAACTTTCTGATCTGTTTGTTATGGATGACTCGGGACTTGAAGTTTCTGATCTGTTTGTGGGTACATGTTGCAGAGTTGAAGTCTGTGGTTTTTTCATGGTCACAGGTTGTGAGGCGGTGCATATCCCAGGATTTCAGCTCCCTGAGGTGTTTAATGGTATATGTCCCATGGTGGGAGGGCTCTGAACTATTTGTGGCGTTTGAAGCCTCTGATCTGTTTGTGGCCACCTGTCCAGGCTGTGAGGTGAGGTGTGTAATCTCTGTTGGTATATGTTCCCGGATGTGAATTCCCTGATCTGTTTGTGGGTAGCGTCTGATGGTATGAAATGGCTGATGTGTTCACTGGTCAGTGAACCAGAGTGTGAAATCTCTGACCTGTTTGGGGGTGTTCTCCCAGGATCTCATTTCTCTGATCTGTTTGCTTTCAGCATGCCCTTGGAAATGTTTGCTCTCTGAACTCTTTATGGATGTCCATCCCAGGATAAGAGTTCTCTGAGCTGTTGGGGTGTGCATGCTCCAGGTTGTCAGACCTCTGAGGTTTGGGGAGTAACTTTCTAAGCATATGAGATTCCTGGTTTGTTTGCTGATATATATGTGTGTCTATGTCTATATACATTTAGCTGATCTGATAAATCAGTACGTCTAGGCTGTGAGGTTATTGAGGTCATTTCCCTTGGTTTGAAAGCTCCGACCTGTTTGGGAATATGTCCCAGAATACAAGCTCTCTGATCTTCTCCTGGGTGTGTGTTGCAAGATCTCAGGTCTTTGATTGGTTTCTGGCTATTTTTCCTGGCACGTGAGGTCTCTGACCTGACTGTGGGTATGTTGCAGGATTTGAGATCTCTGATTTGTTTGTGGCTCTCTCTCTGTCCCAGGTCGTGAGGGCTCTGATCTGCTTGTGGATGTATGTCTCAAGATGTCAGGTCTCTGTGCTTATTCTCGGTGTATTTGCTGCATGGGAGCTCTTCAACCTTTTTGTAGCTTCATGTCGCAGCATTTGAGGGCTGTGATTCGTTTTGGGTTGTATTTCTCACATGAGGTCTCTGATCTGTTTGTGAATGTATAGCATGGTATGTGAGTGCCTGATCTGTTTGTGTGGGTTTATCAAGGGTGTGAGGTCTATTCAGTTTGCTGTTACGTGTCCGAGTTTGTGAAGTGTGACCTGTTTGGGGGTTTATGTCTAAGAATATGTTTCTCTCTGCAGTTTGTGTGTGTGTCCTGGACAGAGTCCTCTTCTGTGTTTGCGAGTTTAATTCCAAGTGATCGAGGACTGTGAGCATTCTTAGGTGTTTGTCCCAGAATGTGTGTGTCTCTGTTCTTTTTGGATGTCTGTTAGAGGGTAGGAGTTGGCTCATCTATTTGGAAGCACATGACTCAGAATGTGAGGTCTGTGAACTGTCCGTATAGGTGTGTCTCTGGTGGCTGAGTAACAGCACCCCAAAGATGTCCACTTCCTAATGCCTGGAACCTATGATTATGTTAATTTACATGGAAAAAGGAACTTTGTGGATATGATTAAGTTAAGCATCCTGAGCCAAGGAGATTATCCTAGATTATCTGAGTTGCTTAATGCAATCACAAGTGTCCTTATATGAGGGAAGCATGAAGGCAAGAGTCAGAGAACACGATGTAGTGACGGAAGCAGAGGCAGAAAAGGTGACAGGGTGACATAAGCAGAGATCAAAGAGAGACAAAGGTAGAGATGGGGGCTACAGAAAGAGAGAGAGGTTGGAAGATAGAAACCCTGCTGACTTTGAAGACTGGAGGAAGGGGCTACGAACTCAGGAATGCGGGAACTCCAGAGAGAAGTCCACTCTACTTACACCTTGGCTTTTACCCTGTGAGACTCCTCGTCAGTCTTCTGATCCGCAGAAATGTGAGATAACAAATTTGTGGTGTTTTATGGCAATAAGACTGTGGTGATTTGTTACAGCAGCAAGTCCAGAGCCCTGAGGAGATCAAAGGCCTGCGCCTTCAAGAAATGGAATAAATGTGGCTTTCTTTTCTAAGAGAGAAAAGAAAAGAAAAGAAAAAAAGAAACAGTGTCCCAGGTTGTGATGTCTCTATCCAGTTGTCAGTGCACATCCCAGGACGTGAGCTTCACGTCTGTTTGTGAGTGTCTGTCTGATGGTGGGAGGTCTCTGGTCTGTGTGTGGGTGTAGAACCAGGTTATTGTGTCTCTAATCTCTTTGATAGTGTGTGTTCCAGAATTTGTGGGCCCCGCTGTTTTGGGGTGTATGTCCTAGGAGAGAAGGCCTCTGATCTGACTTTGTGTACAGGTCCCAGGATGTGAGTTCTCTGAACTGTTGAGGTATGTATGTTCAGGATGTAAGGATTCTGAGCTCCGTGGCCATATTTCCCTTTGCTTGAAACTCCTGATCGAAACAGATGTTTCTGTTTCTGTTTCTGTTCAAGGATGTGAGACTTCCTGGTCTGTTTGTTTGTCTCTGTCTTGTGGTGTGAAGCTTCTGGTATGTTTGCTAGTGAGTGAAGCAGGGAGTGACGCAGGGCGTATATCCCATGATGGGAATTCCGTCATCTGTGGGTACTCGTCTGACAGTGTGAAGTGTCTGATCTTTTCAGTGGTGAATGAACAAGAGTGTGAGGTCTCTGACGTGTTTGAGGACGTTTTCCCAGGAGGTGAGTTCTCTGATCCGTTTCTCAATGCATGTCCTAGGATGTAAGGTCTCTCATGTTTTGTGAATGTACATCTCAGAGTGTGAGGTCTCTGAGCTGTTTGTGGGTGTATGTTCCAGGTTGTCAGATGTCTGATGTCTTATGGGGAAATTTGTTTGCTGACATATGCCATGAAGTGATATTCTTGTCTGTTAAGGTGTACATATCTGGGATGTGGGATTTCTGAGCTCGTTCTGGGTGTATGTTTCAGGATGTGAGGCCTCTGACCTGTTTATGGGTGCATGTCCCATGTTGACAGCTCTCTGCTGTGTTTCTGGGTGCATTTCTTTGCATGTGAGGACTCACTTGTTTCTGGGAGGATCTCTGTGAGTGTGTATCCCAGGATCTGAGTTCTCTGATCTTCTTGAGTCTGTAGGCCCCAAGATTTCAGGTGTCTGTTTTTATCTGGGTACGTTTACCAGCATGTCAGGTCTGTAACCTGTTTGTTGGTTTATGTTGCAGGATTGGAGGAGTCTGGTATGGTTTGAGTTGTATTTCTTAGATCAGGTCTTTGAACTGTTTGTGCGTGTATGTCACATATGTGAGTGTGTCATCTCCTTGGGTGTTTTTGTATAGGGTATGAGGTCTGTTCTATTTGTAGTTGTATGTCCCACTTTGTCAGGTCCCTGATCTGTTTGTGTGTGTGTGTCAGAGAATGTGGGCTTTTTTCTGCTCTTCGTTTGTGTCTATCCCAGAGTCAGAGATCTAGTCTGTTTGCAGGTCCTGGAGTGTGGATCCTTGATCTCCTTGTGGGTGTATATCCCGCCATATCAAGTCCCTGTTCTCTTTGGATGCGTATGTCCCAGAGAGTGAGTTCTCTTATGTCTTTGTGGGTTTAATTCCCAGAGCGTGAAGACTCTAAGCATTACTTGATGCATGTCCCAGAATGTGTGGCTCTCCTGTCGTTTGCATGTATGTTTCGGGGTAGAAGGTCTCGATCTCTTTGGAGGTGTATGACTCCAGCTGTGAAGTCTGCGAGCACTTCCTGGGTGTATGTCCCAGGATGTCAGGTTTCTTTTTGTTTGTGCATGTATGTTCTGTTTGGTCAAATAATGGGTCACCAAATACGTCCTCACCCCATTCCTGGGACTTGTTAATATGTTGTCTTACCTGGAAAAAAGGACTTTGCAGATATGTATTTGGAAAGCATCCTGAGATGGGGCAGTTATCCCGGATTATCTAGGAGGGCCCACAGTAATCATGAGGGTCTTTGTATGAGGGAGGAAGAACCTTTAGGATCAGAGAAAACTAAGTGACTGTGTACGTCGAGACAGGGAGGGCTATGTGATATAGAGTCACAAAAGGTGAGGTGATGGCTGAAGCAGAGGTCAGAGAGAGAGAGAGAGAGATGCTAAAATTCAAGCTCGAATGCTTGAATCCTCTGATTTTTTTGTGGGCTATGCCGCAAGATGTCATGTCTACCATCTGGTGTATTTTCTGGGCATATTTTTCAGCACGTGGAATATCTGACTTGATCGTGTTGCAAGATTTGAAGTCTCTGATCTGTTTGTTTTCTGTGCTCCAGAAGGTGAGGTCTCTGAGCTGTTTGTCCATGTATGTTGCTGGATCTGTTTGTGGGTGTATGTCCAGGATGCGAGGGCCCTGATCTGTTTGGGTGTGTATGTCCCATGATTTGAGGTCTGTGAATTATTTGATGTCCTGCATCCAGCATTTTAATTCTCCAAATTATATTTTGGGGTCTATACCCTAAGTCTCAGAAGGATTTCTGAATCTTGGACTCAAGGGTCCTGAGCTTTTTCTGGTCTACATTCCAGGGGTGAGTTCAATGAGCTGTTTGGGTGACTGTGTTCTAGAATACGTGGTCCCTGAGCTCTTTTGGTTTGAGAGTTCCTTGACCTGTTTGGGACATATTTTCAGATGTGAAGTCTCTTTCTTTTGAGAGGTCTCAGTCCCAGGATGTGAGGTATCTGACTCATTAGGGTTCTGTTCCAGGGTCATGATCACTGAGTTTTTAATGGGGCGGGGGGGCAGTTAGTGAATTTTCTGAGCTGTTTGGAGGTCTTTGTTTAGTGTGTGAAATCTCTAAACTCTATGGTGGCCTCTGTGCAGAGTACGGGGTCTCTGAACTACTTAGAAATCTCTCCTTTCAGGGATGAGGTGGCTGAGCTATTTGGGGTCTGCGACCCTCACATGAGGACTCTGATGTGTTTGAGTGTCTGTGGTCAGGATGTCAGCCCCATGTCCCAGAGAATGAGTTCTCTATGGTGTTGTGGGTTTTGTCCTCGGGGGCCATCTTTTGGAGCAGTTTCAGGATCTCTTTCCAGAGTTTGAGGTCTTTCTACTGCTGCAGGCCTCTGAGGGGCTCCCCTTCTGTGTCCCGGAGTGTGAGATCTCTGATCTCTGTATCCCTTGGTGTGAGGTCCCTAACTGTTGGGGTGTGTCTCCAAGGGCGAGGCAGCTCCAGGGTGTGAGGTCTCTGAGTGCTTTGGGGTTCTATTACCAGTTTATGATGTCTCTCGGGTGTTTGAGGGCTATCTCCAGGTTCTTAGGTCTCTGAGCTGTGTGGGGGTTTGTGTCCTAGGGTTTAAGTTTTGTTAACTCTGAGCATTTTGGCACTGTACGTCTGATGTGTGAGGTCTCAGGCCTATCCGTGGGTCTGTTCTCCAGATTGTGAGGTTAATGAACTCTTTGAGAGTTTCTGTCCCATCATGTGAGGTGCTTGAACCGTGTGGGCATATGTAGCCAGGATGTGCTGTCTCTGAGCTGTTTTTGTGTCTGTCTCCCGGGTTCGAAGTTCTCTGAGCTATTTGAGAACTTGCGTCCACGATGTGAGGTCCCTAAGCTGCTGTGAGTCTGTGTCCCAGTTGTGAGGTCTCTCCGCTGTTTGTGGCAGACTTTGAACAAAATGTGAGGTTTCTAGGCCGTATGGTGATCTGTGTCCATGAGTGTCGGGTGCCTGAAATCTTTCCGGATATGAGTACAAAGTGTGAGTTCCATGAATGGTTTTTGGGTCTGAGTCCAGGGTGTGAGGTTTCTGAATCATTGGGAGGTTTGTGTTTAGAGTGTGAAGATTCTGAGCTGTTTAGTGTTGGGAGCCTAGGATATAAGGTTTCTGGGCTCTTTAGGGTCTGTGTCCAGGATGTGTGATCTCAACTTATTTGGGGTCTCTATCACAGGGTGTGAAGTCTCTAAGCTATGTAGAGGATTTGTGTCCAGATTTTCGGGATTCTGAGTTCTTCTGTGAACCAGAGTGGGAGGCCTCTGAGCTGTTTGGGGATCTGTCTCAGTGTACGAAGGCTCTGAGCTATTTTTGTGAAATCTGTGTCTGGTACGTGACATCTCTGAACAGGAACCTGTGTTGAGGGTGTGAGATCTCTGAGCTGTCTGGTGGTCTGAGAAGAAGGTGTGAGGTCTCTGAACTGTTTGTCCTTCTTTATCGCAGTTTGTGAGTTCTCTGAGAAATTGGTGGGTCTTTATCCCCAATTGTGAAGTCTCTGAGCTTTGTGGGGGGTCTGTAATCATATTTTCAGGTCTCTGAGCTCTTTGGATGCATGGGTTACAAAGCGTGAGGTCTCTGAGGTGTTAGGTGGTCTTTCCTAGGGTGTCCTGACGTTGAGCTGGTTAGGGGTCCGTGTCAGGAGATGTGAGGTCTCTGAGCTGTATATAGATGTTTCCAGAGTTGGAATTCTCTGCACCGAGTCTGTTTCCGTGCTGGGTGCTCTCTAAGCCTTTGGGGTCTGCGTCTGAGGCTTGACTCGAGTTGTTTGTGGCACTATGTTCTAGGGAGTGAGGTCCCTGGGATGTTTCGTGCTCTATTATCCAGGGCGTCTCTGAGCAATTTGGGGGTCTGTGTCCCAGATATGAGGTTTCAGAATCATTTGGGGATCTGCAGAGTGTGAGGCCTCTCGGTGTTGGGCAGTCTGTATCAGGGTGGCACAGCTCAGCTGTTCGGGGGTCTGTCCCAGGATGTGAGGTCTCTGAGCAGTTTGGAAATTGATGATCAGGGTGTGAAGGCTCCAAATAGCTTGGGTGGCAGTAACCCAGGTTGTGAGGCCTTTGAGATGTTTGTGCATCTCTCTCTAGAAAGTTCTCTGGTGTGTTTGGGGTCTGAATCCCAGCATATGAGGCAGCATGAGGTCTCAGAGGGCTTTGGGAGTGTGTTCTAGTCTCAGTGCGGCCTGTGTGTTATTTGGGGCCTGTGTCCAGGTATGAGATCTCTGAGCTCTATGGAGACGTGTACTCCAGGGTGTGAAGTCTCTGCAGTCTGGGGTCAATATCCAGGGCGTAAGGTCTACAAGCTGTTTAGAGGCCTGTGTCCTAAGTCTCCTGTGTGTGTCTCCGAGCTGTTTAGGATTCTGTCACCTGTGTGTGAGGTCTTTGAAATATTTGGGTATCTGTGTCACAGCGTGTAACATCTCTGAGCAAAAACAAACGGCACTGGCTCATACTCAGGTTGAGGGATGATGGAAACAAGTACATTTGAAACATCATCTTTGTTCTCTGCTTTATACCCTGGCACATATAGGTGCTCAATGAATATTTGTAGAAAAAGCTTCCCCCAGCACGCACAGACTTTCCTCTTTGAATGTACTAGGCAGGCTTTGGGTTCAAAGCCTCTATGAGCAGAGAGGGTCCAGCTAGAATTGTATCATATTTCTGTATTTCTACTATCTTTATTTCTCTGGTTACTTATTTTTGTTTGTTTCTAGTAAGTGAGAATGGTTTGTCCATTTATTTATTTTATTTTATTTTGGCAGGGGAAGATTTGCCCTAAGCTAACATCTATTGCCAATCTTCCTCCTTTTTTTCCCTACCCCCCCCCCCCCCCCCCCCCCCCCCCCCCCCCCCCCCCGCACCAAGCCCCAGTACATAGTTGTGTATAGTTCTTTTGGTTCTTCTATGTGAGCCACTGCCATAGCATGGCTACTGACAGACGAGCAGTGTGGTTTCACACCTGGGAACCAAACCTGGGCTGCCGAGGCAGAGCACACTGAACTTTAACG